CCATGGCTTCAGCCGGTCCCTCTGTTTGGGGTCCCAGACTTCCCACAATAACTTGCTAATATTTATTTGAGTATTTGTGTCTATATTCATAAGAGACATTCATAGGTAGTTTTGTTCACTTATGTTGTCTTTTCTTGATTTTGGTGTCAAAATAATACTAGCTTATGTAATAAATTTGGAATTGTTCACTTCTCTTGTAGTTTTTGATGGAAGGGTATTAATTCTTTTTAAAATGTTTAGTAAATTTACCAGTGAAATCACAGGATTCTGGGCTTTCCTTTATAAAAGTTTTAAAAATTCCTCATTTAATCTCTTATTATAGATCTATTCAGATTTTGTATTTCTTTTTGTTTTTGTATTTCTTCTTCAGTCAGTTTTAGTAGTATTTTCATAAAAATTTGACCATTTCATATGTTATCTAATTTATTTGGATATAATTTTATAGTGTCCCTTATAATTTCTTTAATTCTGTAAATTTGGTAATTATGTTGCCTCTTTCATTCCTGATTTTAGTGATTTCTTCTTGTAATTTTTGTCATTCAATATAGCTAAAGGTTTTTCAAATTTGTTGATCTTTGCAAGAATGAACTTTGGGTTTTGTTGATTTACTGTAGTGTGTTTCTACTCTCTATTATTTTCACTCTAGTCTTTATTATTTCCTTTCTACAAGTTGTTTCCAGTTACTTTGCTCTTCTTTTTCCAGTTTATTAAGGTGGAAGATTAGATTATTGAGCCCTATAGAGTCACAATCAAATTCTAACAGCTGTACAAAGAAGTGTTTATGTCACTGAAGAGCTAATAAATATCAAAGAGCTAATCCTACTGAAACTATTCCTAAAACATAAGGAGGATTCCTCCCTAACTGATTCTTTGCAAAATGTCAACCACGAACCTGCCTTATGACCTATCCCTTCCATTCCCAGATACATACAAAGAGAAATAAAAACATCTGTCCACACAAAAATTTGTAAAATGAATTTTCCTAGCAGTGTTACCTATAATAGTCAAAAGGTACAAATAACCCAAATGTCCAACAACTGAGGAATGAATAAATGTGCAAATAAAGAGTTCTATTCACCAGACTAGTATAGTGGATCCTCTTAAGCAAAGGAGTTCTGGAATTAAATTACCTGGTTTTAAATTTTGGCCCTGCCACTCTTTACTCAAGTTAATTAATCTTGTGTTTCTGTAACTCTATCCTGTGAATAATAGAGCATATCTCATAGAGAAATTTAATGATGAAATAGCACATGTAAACATTTAAACCAGTGCATGTCACTTAATAAATACTAACTACATATTGGCTATTATTATTGGTCTTCCTACTCTCACTTACTCATTTCTGGCTCGAAGTATAAAACATAAATTTCCTCTAACACTTTCTGCCATTCAAGGACATGCTAAAGAGGGGCTTTATTCCTGGCATGACCCTACTTCAACTGGTCCTATCTTAGGGAAGTGAAAAAGCAGAGAGGAGGGGTCTATATAATTGGAGAGAGCATGTTATTCATGGTACCGTGTTGTCCGAGGTTGACTCTTCCTCTCTTTTGCAGTTTGTCTCAAAGATTGGTCAGAAGAGTCAGGGTTGTGCTTGTTTTTGCTCTCATGGACTAATTTAGATATAAGACTATGTACAGGCAGGCCAGGAGGCCCTCCTCTTCCTCTTGTAATCTCTGTTCTAATCATAATGGAGTTTGTGAGGTGGGTTATGTTTACATTTTATTGAGTAGGTATAATCAAACCTATATGTGGACTTTAGCATCCCCTGAACAGAATACAAAATTTAGATTTGGAACAAAAATAGCAAGCCTTATTTTTGGTCTTAAACTGAATCCATACCCTCAAATTTTGCTGAACTTGAGAGAATTGTCCCCCTCTGGGGTTAATTTTAAAGTCATTATAATAAAGTCCATAATATGATCATCCAGCAAATCGTTCCAGCAAAAAGAAGAGGTAATTTTTATTTCAAACATTAGAAGACCAAAGTAGAAGATATTCAGTCTTCCTCAAAATTTATCTTTCAGATAAAGGAAGGTGGCACAAGGAATATTATGTGGAGATTACTTCAGAACACTACAAGCAGTCCCTAATCAAGAGAGGCAAGAGCTAAAGGTAACAGGAACCCTAAGAGGTCTATGGGACTGCAAATGTCCTTTCTTGATAGAAGGCCCAACAATTAGCTCAGTTGTCTGTGTTAAATGTCTGGTAGTTTGTCATTGATACCTTCTGTTACATACCCTCTATGCTTCATCAATCATATTCTAATACTATACAACCATTTTTTAACTCTGTATTTCTCCCATCTCCTCAAGCCAAGCCATCATCCTATTTTTATCAGGACTTACAGCCTCTGAATGTTCTCCAGTGTGCATTTGTGACCTTGGATGTTAAACCCACCCCTGACTTTGTAGCCAAATGATCAAATGCAAAAACAACTGTGTCACCCTCCCCTTTAAAGTCCTTTCTTTGCATTTCACCACCTTTAGTATAAATATAAAACTTTAATGTTATTGATAACAAAAACTCTGCTACTTCAACCCATATCTATTATCACAGCCTTATCTTGAATTTATCCTTTTTATTTTTTAAAGCCCCAAGTATATTTTACTTATTTAAGTTGTTCTAAAGAAATTTCATTCATATATTGAGACATTTGCATATATTGAGCCCATTTGCAGGAATATTCCACCCCCCCTGCTATGACCACCTTACAAGAACAGCAACAAACCCACCACAGTATCTAATCTTCTCATACACTAACAGTTTTGCGTAGTCTCTGTCTTCTTTCAGACACCATTTCCCCACATTCCCCATTTCCTGCATGTGTATTACTCAACCTCTGGTGGTAGCTAAGGGTTTAAGAAATTTGTTACTTTCCTTTTACACCACATAAACCAAAGTTATTTTGAAAGAAATTAAAGATAATTCTTCTTAGTCCATCTAAATGTGGACTTTCTTCTTCTTCTTTTTTTTTTTTTTTTTGAGACAGTCTCGCTCTATCGCCTAGGCTGGAGCTCAATGGCATGATCTCGGCTCACTGAAAGCTCCACCTCCTGGGTTCACACCATTCTCCTGCCTCAGCCTCCCAAGTAGCTGGGACTACAGGCACCTGCCACCATGCCCAGCTAATTTTT